GAATTGAAAACCATGTCGCACAGTATACAAACATCACCTGAGTGCGAGGCCCAGCTTTAACCCCATCTTTTCCAGCAGCTCTCTATGCAATCCAGCTTCTAGTAATCCTACTCTTTTTACTAAAAGGACTCGCTGCCACTACCTTGTTTTTATCATTTACATACATTTTTTTTTTACTTTGTGATATTGCTTTTGTTATATTGTTTTAAAATACTGTATTTAGGCCGGGCACAGTGGCCCACACCTATAATCCCAGCACTTTGTGAGGCCAAGACAGGCAGATCACTTTTAGCTCAGGAGTTCAAGATAAGCCTGGTCAACATGGCAAAACCCTGTTTCTACAAAAAAATACAAAAATTAGGCCTGCCATGGTGGCTCACACCTGTAGTCCCAGTTACTCAGTAGGCTGAGGCTGTAGAATGGCTTCAGCTCAGGTAGTGGAGGCTGCAGTGAGTCAAGATCGCACCTCTGCACTCCAGCCTGGGCGACAGAGCCAGATTCCATCTCAAAGTAAAAAACCATATTTAATGGTTTCTGTTTATATGTTAGTTCCCGGATTAGACTTAAAGCCTCGTAAAGAAAGAAACCATGTCTTAACAGTATCTTTCTATTTACTAGTTATCTAGAACATGATTCACACAGAGTAGGAATTCAAGAATATTCCGTAGTTTGATTGATTCAGTATAATCAGACTGCCACTGTACAAAGAGTAAAATTTGCAAACATACAATACTACTTCCATTAGCGTAGAGTGAGTTTTTTTTATTTTTATAATTTTGATGAAAATATTTCCAGCATTTACTTGCAGCCACATCTTAGTAGAAAGATTATTGTGGATACAGTCATTTCTGATTACTCAAACATCATTTGGAATATCAATTGTGTTCTTTAGGCTGCCTCCATTCTCAAATAGCGCTGCTTTTAAACTGTTGTGCATATTTTAGTGTTTCTGTCTCCCTTGCATGTATCAGCTAACATTTATCAGCTGTCCCCACGACTTCCAGTGATCATTCTCTGCGCCTAGTAATGAGGTGCTTGGTAGAGGAGGAACAGCAAGATGACAACAGTGACAACAATGGTCACGAACACTAATCCTAGCGTTCTTTGAGACTTACTGCATGCCAGACATCGGTCTACATGCTTTATATTCAGTGAATCATTATTGTGAACAATTTGAGGGATAGTCACTATTTGTTGTTTCCATTGTACTACCGAAGAAACTGAGGCACAGAGAGGTTGAGTCACTTGCCTAAGTTATCAGAGGCAGGAAATGGTAAGATCAAAACCTAAGGAGACTGACTCAAGAACTTTTAGTGGTCATTACCACACTGTGTTACACTCGGTGTATAATTAGATAATCGCCAGCCTCAAAAATAAGTCAACCAATTTTACCCAAAATTCAGAACAAATCATTTCCAAAAGTATTTGATGGTGGTTTTATGTGTCATAAAATGTGTGAACTTTGTGGCAGCTATTTCACTGTGACAACGTTTTCCTTAAGTTTCTAATTTAATTTTTTAAATTAAGATTTATTCATTTGCTAAGCACTGGCTATGTCCCAGGTACTGTTCTAGGAGCTGGTTATAGATTCAAAAGATTATAGACCCTCAACAACAAAAAGACACCAGTCACCTTCTAGCCTGGTGCTTCCAAGTCTGGCTGTCCCTTAGAATTACCTGGGAGCTTTACAAAACCACTGCTGCCTGGTCCCCACCGCACACCACCTGAATCCAAATCTCTGCAGGTGGGGCTCCCTGGGGAGGCCAGCATGCAGCCAGGCTTGATGATAATGAAAGCCAGGGTTACTGAAGCGGTCTGCCTAAAGTCACAGAGGTAGACATTTCTAAAGTTTTCCTGATTTTTGAAAATTTTTATACTACACCATAAAATTGTTTCAGGTGTTTAGAAATCTTTTCATCCAACAAATAAGAAGAGATTGACAAATAAGACAAAACCAGTTAGGGGAGAAAGTCAGTAAGTAATCACAGTTACCTGGAGTGCTCTGAAAGCCATAATACAGCAAAAACAGTCAAAATATTTTCCTGCAATATGAACCATCAGAGTATAATCTCACTAAATCTGAACTTTTTTATGGACAAGGACAAATCAAGGGCAGCCCAGCTGAGAGAAAACAGCATTAGATTTGGTACCACTTAAGACTGGGTTCAAATTTAGTAAATCATGGGAAAATTTATTCATTACCATAAGCCCTGTCTCTGCACCTGTATAAAGAGCAGGTATATAATACTTCCTGTGCTGATCATTAAATAAAAGCATGCAGGTAAATGCTTCTAGCACAATTGATTAGGTGACTCACAAATAGTAAGTCGCTTCTCTCCCTTCCTTTAAATCTGATTGAAAAGGAAATTAACAACTCAACAAACTACCCAGGTCACCTAATATGACCCATGTTTTATAAAAGCAGGCAAGTGCTTAGCTAGAGATCATTTTTGCATCTAATCCACAGAAGCACAATCTCCTCTGGCAGTTCTCCTTCTTGCCTTCCTGCCAGAACCTTAGGAACTACATATTTTCTTCTGCTCCTCACTGAGAATGCACAGCAAAACTTCCTTCTCCTGAGTATCTATGGACTGCATTTACACCCTGATTCACATCCAAGCCCTAATTCAGACTTCTTCTATTCCTTCACCACAGGGTGGTGACATCAAGAGTGTGGCACCCTCCATAAACACTCATGCCGAAATGCCACAAGCACTGAACGTTAAAGCTCAAAAGCAGACGTCCTTGTCAGGTCAAAAACAATTGCATATGAAGCCTTCAATGTCTGTGCCTTCATACAGAAGTTTTCTGAAGGGATATATTTCTTTTCTTTTTTTTTTTTTTTGAGACGGAGTTTTGCTCTTGTTACCCAGGCTGGAGTGCAATGGCTCAATCTCGGCTCACCGCAACCTCCGCCTCCTGGGTTCAGGCAATTCTCCTGCCTCAGCCTCCTGAGTAGCTGGGATTACAGGCACGCGCCACCATGCCCAGCTAATTTTTTGTATTTTTAGTGGAGACGGGGTTTCACCATGTTGACCAGGATGGTCCCGATCTCTTGACCTCGTGATCCACCTGCCTTGGCCTCCCAAAGTGCTGGGATTACAGGCGTGAGCCACCACGCCCAGCCCTGAAGGGATATATTTCTTCTGTGGACCAACCAGATCATTTTTGTGGTATATTCATGGGAAAAGCCCATATCTATTTTCCTTAATAAATGCTTCAGCTCCTCAGAACTTGCAGAATAGTAACACCTTTTTGGTTAAGTTGTTGACTAGGAAAATTAACCCCTTCAAATTTAACTTTAGCAAATGCAGCAGAAAGCACTTAGAGGGTTCAGAGTTCAATGCGCAGTACACTTGAGGAATGTATAATAAAACCATGGTTGAAAACTAAAGAAGTTACAAGCACATGCAGAATTTGAACAATGCTATAACATGGGCCACAATGAGAGAAAACCTAGAGATTCTACCACAATTCCCATAAATTGGATATAATTACATTGAATTATTTAAAGTTCCCTATTTTGGCTGCTTTGCACAGTATCTTCTGCCAAGCTCACAGTAACACTTCCCAGTGTAAATACACAGCCTATAAAATGTGTTTTTATGTAAAATTGTGTGCCATAGGCTGTTTTGAAAAGGAAATTCCAAGTTGTAAAACACAAATGTGTTTACAAACTAAAAAGAATGTTTCCTGAAATACATGTGGCATAACTAAAGTTCCACAGGATGGTAGATATTAGGCAGAATTAAAAAAAATGCGTGAACAGATAAAGGTGAAGATTCACATGAGAAAATAATCCTGAGGAAATCCAAAGTCAAGCAAATGTCTTTTTTTAAAACTCCAGGATTTCTCAGAACCTCTAATATACAAATGTGTATTCTAACGCTCTAAGAAGTAGATCTGATAGTATTTCCCAAAGTTAGTTTTTTTCAAGCATTATTCCAGACTCAGGTACTATATGGAACACCAGTTTGGGAAACACTGACCTGAAATGTTACCATGATAAACTGCCATTCAGTAGTTCTGCCATTCAGCAGGACAAAGGAGCATCCTAGTTCATCGGATGAAAGATGAGTTGGTCCAGTTGGCAAACAGACCAGAGGAATCTTTCGATTCTGATCAGTATTCTCAAGCACTTGCAACATCACCCCTTATGGGAATAAGGGGTGAAACACAGCTCTTGCCATACCCATAAAAAACCATTAAAACACTTGCATATAGTGTTCTAATTACATATAGTTCTGTTAGGTTACGCAATGTAATTATTTTCTTTTTTCTTTTTAACATACTAGGGGTCAAAAAATAGTACACTGGCTTTGTTTATTATAAAGTACTTCTTCAGGATGGCTTTCTTATTCTTTCCAGTTTGTAAGTGCAAAACAACTTGAAACCTGAATCTATATTGGACAAAGCCCTGGCCAATTCAGTCAAAATGACTAATCAAGTCAATGGGGAAGAAATTGAGGGCACATAAGGCTGAATCAACTGATTAGTGGATTTTAAACAATTAGTGCCATTGACTAGCTCCAGGTTTGGAGGAAGAAAAAAAAAAAAAAAAAAACAAGAGGCTTTATATTTACTGTGTCATGAATGTTAAGAATCATTAGAGTGAAAATGTTGCTATAAAAATGTCTGTTTCAAAAAACATTGACTTTTACACTCATAAACAAAAAGGAAAATTCTCACCCAATCAAAATAAACCAAAGCCTTCCAATTTTAAGCTGCTTTGTGCAAAAACGCTGCAATCCCTGTTCTGTTCCAATGCAGCATTAAGCTGTTGAGTTCCTAATAAACCAAGCCTTTGAAAGGTGTGCAAACATGCTGCTGTCACTCTGGGGGAAGATAAACACGTTTGCTCACTTTAGAAAGGCAAACCAAAAGCAGTCTACGCAAACGCCGATGATTGTCGGGATTTGACAATGTAATAGTTTTGGTTTCTAGGCCCCTGAATTGAATTCCTGTCCACTCAGACAAACCCCGAACAGCTTGTCACATACTGCAATGAGCCTCGTCACTCCAGTCGTCACAGTCATTGTAGCCATTACATTGCAGTTTCCTGGGGATGCAGATTCCACTGGCACACAGAAAGCTCTCACCCCCTCCACAGAGCACTAAAAAAAAAGGACAGGAATAATGTCAGAATAAGATTAGTTTTTTTTCTTTTAAGATTATAAGAGATAAATAAATAGAAAATCTTCTTTTGCTATTCAGCAGATTTGTTTCCAAATTCCCTCAGTTTTATTGTCACCAATTTTCCTTTGGCATCCTAGAACATTAATTGGTAAATTACCTGGAAATAACGCAAAGAGTGCTTGCTTGTCTGAGGAAAGCAGGAGCTAATTCACCAGTGGGCTTTCAGAGTGAGGCACCAATGTTCAGAGAGCAAGAGGGTCACGTCATCAATTGCACAATTTATGTGGGGAGAATACCAAATGGAAGTATTTTTCTAAATAATTAAAATTCGTGTCAAAGAAAGTGCTATGTATTGAACCAACATGTTAAAAGTCTACCTTTCTAAAAAGCTATTCTATGTACCACAGAAAAAGTTCCAGTAAAAACAGAGTCAGTAAATGGATGTGTGCTTGAACACAGGCATAGAGACCTGGTGCCCTGTATTTGAAACATATTTACTTGCCTTAATGAAAATGCCAGTTAAAATGTCAGAGTCTATTTTGGCATAAGAAATGGGAAACAGCATTCTTTAACAATATTTTCATTTCTTTTTCTTAACAGTTATCTTTTTATATTTTTGCTTTTAATATTTTGGTGTTCTTTTACTTCTAAAATGCAATCAATATTCAACTGCTTCAAAATTACAGTAGACAATAAATTTAAGACAAAAAGAAAATGTTAAAGGAAGACCATTAATAAAAGGATAAATCAGCTCAACAAAGCGGATGTTAATATAAAAAATGTTTAATAATGTGCACCAAATGCCTCTTAAATGTGCATAATCTTTGACTCAGCAGTCATTTCTCGGCCTTCATAAAAAGGAAATCATTATGAATACGTATTTTATGCTTAATGATATTCATAACATCATTGTTTAAAATGAGGAAACTGAAATAACCACTATGCAATATTAAGGGATTCATTAAATAAATTCTGATACCACCACAATAAGGAACAATATTACAGCCATTGAAAAAATATATGGTAGAAAATGCTTAATGTCCTAGGACAAAGTTCAAGCTACTTTGGATGAGAAAACACCAGCTGGTCCTAGAAGACAAAATACAATTTGGCATGGGGAAAGGTATATTAACTTTAGTATTAGGATTAAAGTCACTTTTTTTTAACTGTATTGTAGTCTATATTTTACAAATGTCCTTATAATTATGATGTTTTATTCTTAGGTGGGAAAAAATAACTTTTTTTTTTTTTTGAGACAGAGTTTCACTCTTGTTACCCAGGCTGGAGTGCAATGGCGCAATCTCGGCTTACCGCAACCTCTGCCTCCTGGGTTCAAGCAATTCTCCTGCATCAGCCTCCTGAGTAGCTGGGATTACAGGCACGCACCACCATGCCCAGCTAATTTTTTGTATCTTTAGTAGAGACGGGGTTTCATGATGTTAACCAGAATGGTCTCGATCTCCTGACCTCATGATCCACCCACCTCCGCCTCCCGAAGTGCTGGGATTACAAAAAAATAACTTTTTTATGAGCTTCTGTTTCAGATAAAAGAAGTTAAGTAGAACTTTAAAAAATCTCCTTCTGTCTTTCTCTCTCACCTTCCACCAAAGCTTGTATGTGTTTGTGGTGTGTGTGTGTGTGTGTGTGTGTGTGTGTGTGTGTTGGCTGTGTGGTCAGTTGCCTGGTCACTGCCACCATTCCCTGCACTACATAGTTCTTGATACATCTTGATAAGATGAACCTTGTTGACTAGTTAAAGAGAATCCAGAAATATGGAACACTTTAATTCAGCAATAGAAATAGAGAAAAGAACACAATGAAAAGCTCCAGGCAATGAAGCCCATGTCTGTTATACTTCCCATCATGTTCCTGGGACCCAGCAGAGTGGTTGGCGCTCAGAAGGTTCTCGAATAATGTATTTCCCACCCATGTTCCTGGGACCCAGCCAGTGGCTAGCACTCAGGAGGTTCTTGATTCAATGAGAAAAAAGTTATCTAAATCTCTAATAGAACAATATAGTGCCATAAAGCAGAAAAAAACAAAATTAATGAATTCTTTCCCAATGTTATTAAGGAAATCAGCATTTCAACTCATTGAACATTAAGTATTAGTTGCTTTGATCTCTTATGATGCTATGTCATGTAACATCTTTACAGTATCAACAACAAAAGCCCAATTTTCCATTATATTCCATAATTTCAGTATCAGCACAAATTACATCTATCGATTTCAACTGTCAAAATATCCAACATGTTTAGTGCGGTGTCAGAAGATTCTGCACAGGAGTGCACTCCTATAGCTACAACTACAGGCTCCTAAAGGATACACAGGAAACCAGATCTAAAATGAAAAACCAAAATACTAAGACTTTACCCATCCAGTCTGTACAATATCCTCTCCCTGGGGTAAAAGAGAAAGTTTTAAAGGAGTGTTTATCCTATCGTGAGATTGTTTCTGTACTATACTAGAGAGAGCAAAAATTCCATATGTCTGCATTTAAGCAGCTGCAATGCCTCACAAGAATTATTGCATTCCCCACCTATGGCTCCAGTGATTCCTCAGGAAATGGAACTGAAAGCTCAACATTCAATAGCTCCTAACCTCTAGATTTTATCTTTAAGACTCTATATATTTGAATCCAGTAAAGCCATTTCTTGCATATGGTCATCTCAAATCTGGATCAAATTTAAAACACAGCACAGCGAGCATTGTTTTGATTATTGATATCCCCTGTCTTGGCTGATTCGGCAGAACCTGACTTCTTTTGTGTGGTTTCTCATCTGGAAGTGTGGCTGTCCTTGGTTTTAGGATGTCATAAATTGTTACTTTATTCTTATTCTTCCTTTGAAAGTTCACAGTTACGGGCTGTCCTTGGTTTTAGGATATCATAAATTGTTACTTTACTCTTGTTCTTTCTTTGAAAGCTCATAGTTACCATAGTTAATATTACTTTAGAAAACTATAATAACCTTTGTGTAATCTTTCTGTTTGATTTATTCTTAACTTGGATTCAGAATTTCCACTTTACTTGTATAAAACTGTTCAGTTAATAAAGTACTACAAACATATTTTATTTGGTAGTTTACAAATGAAGGAAATTAAGTGTCATAAGATCAACATTGAAATGGGTCAAAGCCACATAATTAGGAAAAGATGAAGAACACCCCAAACCCCAAGGTCTAGGATCCATGCCCAATCCTCCATGCCATACCCACTTCCCTATTCCAGGCACACGTGCAATAGTGTAAGTCGGCTGATACTCAGCCAGTTTAAGGGTACTAGGTTTGAGTAAAACTTCAACATTTTTCTCTCTAAACACAAAACAAATGTCTGTCTTTCAGAGAAGTGAATCCAGATGAGATGACATTCCATGTAGTTCTAGACATCTATTAAATGTAGGGCAGGCACTATACTAATACTCCTAATAGTGCCAATGCCCAAAACCATCAGAATTGCAGTCTTCTTAAAAACAACTGTTTTATTATAGCTTACATAATTTATATTCACAGATTTCTGTTCGCTGATTGTCTCTCTCTCCCTTCCAGAATTTAATTTCCCTAAAGAAAGGCATTTTATCAGTTTTTCTTACTGCTGGGCCCCGAGTCTGGTATAGAACTGATACATTATAGGTGCAAATTAGATATCTGTTGGATGAATAAATGAAGACTGAGAAGATGGGGTGTCTATGGAGCATGACTGAATGGTCATTTCTACTTCTTGGCTCTCAATGGCAATGAATATCTTACAACTTTATTATTTTCATTGCTAGGAGAATAAACTACTGATGTAGGATAAAAATCCCTCTGTGTTACAGAGGGATGCTCACTCAAGCCTGAAGACACATCTGGCTTCTGAGTGGCATTTGCTCTCAGTAGGACAACAAATGGCCCTCCTATAGAAAATAATCTTCCCCACTGGCCTGCAGTGATGTGTCTAACATTCCATCCCTGACACCCACATTACCTATACTTGGAGTTAAAATGGTAGGTTTCAGAAGAACTCAAGGTTACCGAGGCAAGGGACTTTGGGGCCACAACATGGATTAAAGGGGTGTATTCAGTTTCCTACTCCATTTCAACTAAAGAGCTCTACTGTTGGCTGCTTTATACATTGGAGTCCATGGAAATTATTCTTTGAAAAAGGGCTTTTGCTGTCAGAAACAAGTTTGAAAACTCCTTCACCCTTAAGATTTTGTGTTCAGTTGAATACTTAGTTGAATATAATTATAGACTATTTAGCTTTATGTTATCATTAGCTTTTCATTATACTTAGACTTGAGAAAATGAAATACAGAATGAGTGACTTTTACGGGTAGAGAGGGATGCAGAAAAGGCATAGAACATGAAGACTCAGTAAGAAGTGACACCTGGACCCACAAATGAGCTCACAAATAGCCCTGCTTGAAGGTGGACAGTGTGTAGATTCAACGCTGTTACACCAGGGTACAAGAAAAGCCAGATTATCTCGTTTTCCTAAATAAAATGAATTCATACTTCCCCACTCAAAAAGGTGATGAGAACTATCCTTCAGACATATTTTGCAGGGTCTCTCTCTCTTTAGGATGCTACAAGGATCCAAGGATCTTACATGGTACCTGGAAGAACAAATGAAGGACCCCTAGCTTTCACTCCTCAGAGAACTGCCAGGGGCTCATGGCTCTAAGTCCTCAAGCGTGTGCTAGACAGAACGTGCCATTGTGTCTGTGCCAAGCCAGGGTACAGGGCCATGGTCCCCAGGGTCCAGCTTTCCTGGCTGCTCCACACAGCCATTCCTTTTGGAGGTCCAGCCTCTTCTACAAGCATGTGAGCACTGGTCTCTGCTGTAATCCCAGCACTTTGGGAGGCCAAGGCGGGTGGATCACGAAGTCAAGAGATCGAGACCATCCTGGTCAACAATTGCGAAACCCCGTCTCTACTAAAAATACAAAAAATTAGCTGGGCACGGTGGCGCGTGCCTGTAGTTCCAGCTACTCAGGAGG